CCCCCCCCTTCGACGGGTGAATCTCTGAGTATTCGAGGAGCAAGAAATTCCAGGTCGCAATTGGCCACGCTTTTTTTGTAGTTGCGCATCTAGCAGGTGAAGTGCCTGTCCAGGAATCTAGAGCTAGAGTAAGCTGGCTCTTGGGAGCCAGCTTACTCTAGCTCCACCCGAATCGGTGTGCACAGTTAGAATGTGGAACCCCACCATTAGCGCGTTCATGAAGACTTTCTTCTAGCCGCAGAATCTAGAAAGGATCTTGGCTTTCGCCATATTAGTAGAGCGAACTTTTCTAAACACATCCAAATTAGGCTGAGACTGGGCGACTTCGGTACTCCCCACCAAATCTTCAAATGTTTTCCTCCTGTACAGAGTTCATATCTCAGGCAAAACGTGTGAGGGATTAGTCGCTCGATTTAGCACATAGTGTTCGATATTACAAGAGGCACACGAAAGTGATTAGGCTAAGTTGTTCGGAAGCTTGAAAGAAAAGGCACCATATGTCAGGATAGGCCTATACGATTCTCCTCAATGATTTTCAAGCTCAAGCTCAGCTAAGCTGTATGCCCCCAAGTGTTGCCGCTACAACTTGCCTGAGGTATAGATAAGTTGGGCTACACCTCAGCATCGGCCCTCCTCAAAAACAAAACTTTTCAGATCTATTCGACGTCAGCAGACTAGTAGCATTGTCGTCTGTAGATTCTGAGTGCTGTAGCTACCACTGAGTGGTTGGTTGTTATGGTAGATTGTTGCAAAACATTGGCAGTGTTGCTCTTAACGTGCTTGGATAATTTATTGAGGGAAAGAGATGACCATAACTCTCTCCAATCTATAGAGGCAGACGGCAGACACGTAATCGTCCTTCGTGTTCCTTGTACTCATATAGCCGTTGCATCCGTATAATGTGCCTGGGGGAAGACGTTCGAGCTGAATACAATTTTTTGTACCATCGGCAACACAGTTGCATCAAGCTGAAGCAACGTCCAATAGTTTGATTTGTCTTAGTTAATGTCGCAACTACTGCTAGAGCATAGAAACGAGGGGTTCAGGTTATTATTAGAATGTTGTGTTTAGGTTCATTCATAAGCACCTTATCTTGGCTCAGACTTTTGAGAAGAATTTTTGGTAGAGATGTGCCACAAGCTCCGTCTATTACTCGATCATCATGTGAACCAGAAATTCTCTGGCAGCCCACTAAGCTTATTCCTGTCAACTCACCTCTGTTTCCTTTTCATCAAAATGAATTTCTAAGACGTCGAGTATTTTTTGCCACACTAACTTGTCATTCGCATTAGTGACGAGGCTGAAAAATTGTTAGAATACCGAATCAAAGAGAGTGGTGCAATAAAGCAAATACAAACCCTCGTCCTCCGACAATCAGATCGGCTTTTATTTTATTTCGCTGTTCTGGTGACTTGAGCCAGTCCAGTGCCTTTTCCGCCAACTCATCACTCCAGACCTATCAAGCGTATATATTCATCAGTCGTAGCTGCCTGTTATGTTTTAAAAGCTAACCAGGTCGTTGGTGTACATACTGTTGAGCGTCACAAAAGTTTCCTTCTCGTCCAGTGGAGTTTCCGAGCCTGAAGAGAACGCTCTGTGTAAATCAGGTCAACTTTGCAAGTGAGACGAAATGCACATTGAAGAGTTCTCTTCTTTCTGGGGTTATCCATAAGTTGTTGTACTTACCCTTGACGAAGAGGCTTGTTGCGAAGAAAGTTACTAGTGTGAACAGCCACAGCATTTGCATATGATACAAATCCCTCGACAAGTCTTCTATTTATGGAGAGTGGTGGTGTATATTATCGGCACCTGCTTGTACGTGCAAATAAAAGCCCCTGTTGTAGTTTTTTATTCCAAAAGGAACAGCTTGCAAAATTTTGTCTACAGCATTTTCCACATCTAATCTTCATCAAATATGGAATGTTCAATTCTCAACTAGATGTGAATGGAACATAGCTTGATATAGATAAAGCAGTTTTACTATGAAATGCGCTCTACTTTTGCATTCGACTTTTTTCTGAGTTCAGTGCTAAAGAGATTCTCTGCTTTCGAAACTCAGAGACGATTGCCATAGCAATAATAAAGCCAGAGAAATTTGGAAAGACACATATTGTAAATCATTTTTACATTTTATTTTTCACTTGAGCCAGCAGTCACTTCGCCATTTTGCCTATTTCTAGCAAGTTGAGGTGATAACATAACATCCACATTTCATCGTCATATCGGGTCAACGAACTGAGCGATTCCAATATGATGGATTCTCCCGATATAATGAAAATCAGATGAGGAACGATGACACGGGCAAATTTTTGATAAGCTGTTTTGTTAGGAAAAGCTAGGCAAAGGGCTTTATTTGCTCACACAATCAGGTGCAACTAAAATACACCACCACTCTCCATAAATAGAAGACTTGTCGAATAGTTTGTACCATATGCAAATGCTGTGGCTGTTCACACTAGTAACCTTCCTCGCGACAAGCTTCTTCGTCAAGGGTGAGTGCTGTAGCATAAGAGTAACCTCAAAAATCCAAGAATGCTCCGATGTGCATCTCACCGGTTAGCCTTCCTCGATTTACCCGAGTCCTTGTCTTCAGGCTCGGATACTCCACTGGACGAAAAGGAAACTTTTGTGACGCTTAATAGTATGTACACCAATGACCTGGTTAGTTTATGAAACAGGTTCAGCTAGTTAGAAATGATGGATAATTTACGCTTGATAGGTTTGGAGTGATGAGTTGGCGGAAAAGGCATTGGACTGGCTCAAGTCACCAGAGCAGCGAAACAAAATAAAAGCCGATCTGATCGTCGGAGGACGAGGGTGTGTATTTGCTTTATTGCACCACTCTCTTTGATTCGGTAATCTAACGATTTTTCAGCCTCGTCACTAATGCGAATGACAAGTTAGTGTGGCAAAAATTACTCGACGTCTTAGAAATTCATTTTGACGAAAAAGAAACAGAAGTGAGTTGACGGCAATAAGCTTACTGAGCTGCCAGGAATTTTCTAGCATAATATGTTTGGGATCGAGTTATGTTTTAAGATTGGGCACAGTTTCTACCGAAAGCTTTTCTAATCGAGCCATGAAAAGTGCTCATGAATGAATTATATGAGCACCCCATTCCTATGCTCTAGCGGTAGCACTAGCATCGAACGTTGTGTCGAAAGTTAAGGCAAATCAAAAGTAATTATTGAAAGTTGCTTCAAATTTATGTAGCTATGTTGCCGAAGATATGAAAACTGTGTATTCAGCTCGAACGCCTTCCCCCAGGCACACTGTACGGATGCAACGGCTATATGAGC